GACCTAGGGGGCGGGGCTGTGCGAGCGCCTGGATCGAGGGGTGGGGCCGAAGCATCCCGGAGGCTGAGGGGAAGGTGCTGCCTGGGTGAATCGAAGCTTCGGGCCGGGCCGAGGCGTAGAGGAGTGTGAAACTATGCGATAGGAACGGGGGTGGGGGGGTCCTTGACAAAGCTAATGGAAATGGAGAAATAAAAACGGTACCGAGGAAATAAGGGTGGGAGAAGGGTATAAGAACAAGTTTTTCATCACACTCCTCAAAAGGGGTCCAAAACCATAAAACCCCCCGTGAGCGGGAGAATTGTGGAAGGCTAGCAAGGCCTGCCCATGCCAAGGTCTTCCAGAGATTCACGGGAGGGCGTCCTTTAAGGAGAAAGCTTCTTGTGCCCTCCTGCTGCCACACGGTCTTTGAGGGTAACCATATCCGAGGACATGTCACAGAACCTTAAAAAACCATTGGGTTCATCCCCCTGCCTCCTGGCTTTGTTCTGCCTTTTGAAATGGAGCCATACTCCTTGGCGGGCTTGAAGTCTAGTCCCCTGGGCCCAGCTGTCTTTAGGGGAACTTGGATTCTGCACCCTGGCTCAGGAGCCCCACGGCTTCTCCTCATCCTCCCTGGGCCTCTGCTTAGTTCTGCCCTCTCCTCTTCCACCACTAGGCAGGGGGGCGGGGATCACTTAACGTTCTCTATGTAGGAGAGAAACAGGATATTAGTTCCTGGCAGATGGAGTAAACAGGTAAACAAGGAGGCAGCCTGGACTCAGTGATTTACTAGGAAGCCCTTTGCCCCAAGATTTTGTCATCTGCCTCCCTGAAAAACAGGCCCGAGAGAGCAGTGGTTATGTAAATGATGCTTAGAAAGGATTTGGGGGAGTTACAGTCATTGAACCCTGACCTGGAAACCCTGGCCACAGAAGCTTCAGAGGCTTGGGGAAAACAGCTGAGGTGGATTGAGGTGTTGGGAGGGGCGTACCATGGGGCACAATCCTCCAGCCACCTGCCCCCTTTCTTCCCTGTGGGGCTGTCTGGCCTGAATCCTCTCCTCCCCCTCCTTCTCCCTGTCTCCTAGCCTCTTCCCAGGAAGCTAGGATGGGTCTGAGATTCTGAGAAAGAGCAGGAGAGGAGATAAGCAGCTTAAAGGAGTGTCTAGGCTCAAGGCGGGGATGGAGATAGGAGGCCGTAGTGGACTCAGAGGTGTGCCTGTGGATGACTTGCTGTCTGCCCCCTGCGCCACCTGGCCAACTTACAGGCATAGGGAGGTAGGGTTACTGCAGCTCTGGGGGACTGGGGGTCAGGTTGACCTGAGGGTTGCTGAAATGGGACTGAGGTGTCCCTTTGGCCAGGGTGGTTGTCTGGCAGTAACCCACTGGCTGCGGAGTGTCTCTCAGATGAGTGCGGGGGGCGGAAAGAGGCATTGCCTATTTGGGAGCTCAGACCCAGCATCCTCAGCAGGATTCTCAAGTGTCTGTGTTGTCCACAGCACATGGTGATGAGCTTCCGGGTGTCTGAGCTCCAGGTGCTGCTCGGCTTTGCTGGCCGGAACAAGAGTGGACGGAAGCACGAGCTCCTGGCCAAGGCCCTGCACCTCCTCAAGTCCAGCTGTGCCCCCAGTGTCCAGATGAAGATCAAAGAACTATATCGCCGCCGCTTTCCCCGGAAGACCCTGGGGCCCTCTGATCTCTCCCTGCTCTCTCTGCCCCCCGGCACCCCTCCTGTCGGCTCCCCTGGTCCACTAGCTCCCATTCCCCCGGCCCTCTTGGCCCCTGGCCCCCTGCTGGGCCCCAAGCGTGAAGTGGACATTCACCCCCCTCTGCCCCAGCCCGTGCACCCTGACGTCACCATGAAACCATTGCCCTTCTATGAAGTCTATGGGGAGCTCATCCGGCCCACCACCCTCGGTATGGCTCTATCTTCCTCCGCCTTCCTCCTGACTCCATGCCTCTTGCCCGGGCCTTTCTTAGGCTTTAGTTCCATGGGATTGGCAGCCTGGGACGGGGGCAGCCTCCGTGGCTGCCTATGCATGGGCTGGGGAATAACTGCCCCTTTGTGTCCCCAGCGTCCACTTCCAGCCAGCGGTTTGAAGAGGCACACTTTACCTTTGCCCTCACACCCCAACAAGTGCAGCAGATTCTCACCTCCAGGTACATCTCTCCCAGCATCCTGGGTGTTACCCCCGGACTCTGCCCCCTGACATTCTCCTCTTCTGTCCCATTCTGCCTGTCCATCCTTCTGCACCTGCTTTGTCTCTCATTCTCTGGTGTGTCTCTTCTCTGTCCCTGGGACATTTAACTTTCTGTGTCTCTGTTCAGCCCTGCCTTCCGGGGGCCACATCCTGACATGTCTCCCTCTCCTTCTTGTCACAGAGAGGTTCTGCCAGGAGCCAAATGTGACTACACTATACAGGTGCAGCTAAGGTGAGTTGATCCTCTCCATCCCTCCCTGCTGGGCTCCTCTTGGGGGGTGGGAATGAAATAAGGGTATGATAGATCCTGCTAGAGGATGGCCCTGCTCTGCTGTGTCCACCCCAACCCTGGGACTTTTGTCGGATGCTGAGGGCTACAGGGATCCATGACTGAATGACTGAGGTCCCCTGCCTTTCCACCAGCTGCAACTCAAGAAACCGCCTCCCTTGCTGTTTCATCTTTTCTCATCTCTTACCAGGTTCTGTCTCTGTGAGACCAGCTGCCCCCAGGAAGATTACTTCCCCCCCAACCTCTTTGTCAAGGTCAATGGGAAACTGTGCCCCCTGCCGGTAAATGTTCTCCCCTTCTTCTAGCAGTTCTCTCTTCCCTGTTTCAGTTCTTGAATGGTAACTGCAAACCTATTATGAAAGAGACATGCCTAGCACAGTGCCTGGTACATCATAGGGACTCAGTTTACTGATGGATCAATATAATCTAGAGGATACTAAGACAGGGCTGATGGAGAACTTGGAGGAGGGACATTTCATTCAACCCAAAGGACAGGGAAGACTTCTCTGGAGTGATGATCTCAGAGCTGAGAGTTGGAAGAAGTGGGGCGTCCCTATTCTTTCTGCTCAGGAACTCATGAGTGGGTTCCTATTTCCCTGGCCAATGAATAAGCTCTCCTTCCTCCCCAGGAATAAACCCCACACACAGCCCTAGATAGTGCTCTGGGTTTGGGAGTCACCAAATGGGCCCCCATCTCCTTGGTCACCGAGTGAGCTGGCCTTCCTTCCAAGACGTGAGTAACCTGAGAGATAAGATGTCTTGACCAGTCCCTCCTTTCTCCAGGGTTATCTTCCCCCTACCAAGAATGGGGCTGAGCCCAAGAGGCCCAGCCGCCCCATCAACATCACACCCCTGGCTCGACTCTCGGCCACTGTTCCCAACACCATCGTGGTCAACTGGTCATCTGAGTTTGGACGGGTGAGCAAGGCTGAGGCAGGGAGCCTGGAGAAGCCTGCAGGGCGTGAGGGGGAATCATCCAGTGTCTTGGGTTTAGGGAAACATCTTCCTCTTTATGGGTCGTTCTGTCTTAACCCGCTGTCTCTGGTCCTCACGGGACAAAGGGTTGGAGTGGTGGTGGTGATGATGATGGTGATGATGGTGGTGGTGTGGTGGTGATGATGTGCAGAGCAAAGGCTAATTACCTCCCCCTGCCTCCAAGTAGAACTACTCCTTGTCTGTGTACCTGGTGAGGCAGTTGACTGCAGGGACCCTCCTACAAAAACTCAGAGCAAAGGGTATCCGGAACCCAGACCACTCTCGGGCACTGAGTGAGTAATGTCCTGCCCCTCTTTACCACTCTGATTTGGATCCAAGTTTTCCTGGTCCTCCAGCCTTTATCGCCAAACCCATACCTGACCTGTGACAATATACCTCACCTCTCATGTGAACCCTAACCCTCCCCTCATCCCCTTACCGATCTTCATGGTTGAGAAGTCAGACCACTCCCAGGCACTGAGTGACACCCTCTCACTCTCAGTTATACATTTGCTTTGCACCTCACAGACCCTGCCTCCAGCCTTGCTGGAATATGGCTGCTTGAGAGTGGGAAGAGTCTTAAGGATCATCTAATCTAACGCTCTTTTGATGTTTCAGTTCCCTCTAAGTCATCTCTGCCAAAGTGTCACCCAGCTATATTTAAGCATCTTTGGGGTCGGGGAAATCTCTCCCTGACACTCAGTCTTCATGTGATCTTCCACTGGCCTCCAAAGACCACCCCCATGTGACATCCCATGGGTCCCCAGAGGCACTCTGCCCAGCTGCCTCTTAGCCAGAACCATCTGCTTCTGGCCTCACCACCTCCCAGGCTTCATCTCCAGCTTTGCTGACCCCATGGCTCTGGCCCCATTCTTGTTTCAGTCAAGGAGAAATTGACCGCTGACCCGGACAGTGAGGTGGCCACCACAAGTCTCCGGGTGTCACTCATGTGCCCGGTGGGTACAAGGGAGATGAGAAGGGAGGAGGGTGGGGCTAAACTCTGGACCCAGATGAGGGCTCCTGGGGCTACTAGAGTGAGGCTTCCCGGGATGTAGGGACTGTGACCAGAGCGCTTGTCTCCTCCCAGCTAGGGAAGATGCGCCTGACAGTCCCTTGTCGTGCCCTCACCTGCGCCCACCTGCAGAGCTTCGATGCTGCCCTTTATCTACAGATGAATGAGAAGAAGCCAACGTGGACATGTCCTGTGTGCGACAAGAAGGCTCCTTATGAATCTCTTATCATTGATGGGTAGGGCCGCTCTGCATTCTGCTTCCTTTTACCTTCGACATCCACTAGGAACCCCCCCCATCGACAGATGAAGATGGCTTCCTTCCCCTCCACAAAGCCCAGCTCTTAACCTATCCACCCCTTTATGTGTATACGTATAATTTATCCTCTTTATAATATACAATTGACCCTTGAACGACACAGGTCCACTTATACATGGGGTTTTTTAATACAGTCCAGTAAATATAAATGGTATTTTTCTTTTTGATGATTTTAATATTTTCTTTTGTCTAGATTACTGTATTGTAAGAATACAGTATGTAATACACATAATATACCAAATAATGTGTTAATTGACCCTTGATGCTATTGGTAAGGCTTCTGGTCAGCCGTAGGCTATTGGTAGTTAAGGTTTTGGAGAGTCAAAAGTTGTCCATGGAATTTTGATTGTGTGTGAGGTCATGTCCATGGATTTTTGATTGCGTGTGAGTGCTTTTAACTCCCGTTTTGCTCAGGGTCGACTGTGTATATTTCCACCACTGAGGATTTATTGCATGAGGTATCATGCTGAGCACATTGCATATCTCATCTCATTGAATCCTCATAATTAACCCTGTGAGATGGATATTGTCATTACAGGTGAAGAAGCTGGGGCCTAGAGAGATTATCTTGCTCAAAGTTATAATTGTTAGTAAGTGGCGGCGTCAATGTATTGAACTGTTACAATATAACACCTATAACAACTACCTGACCTCTCACTGAGCGTGGCAAAACGTTCTTTTGAAGATTTGGATGTGCAGATCTAGCTAGTCCTAACCCCCTTCCAGAGCCTAAATTATGGCCCTCATCGAGAAGACTTATGAAGTTCTATATCTCTGTTCCTTTGTCTTGTCACAAGTACTATGTGAAACACATGCTTAGAATGTTTTTTTTTTTTTTTTTTGAAAACGTAGCATTTGAAGTTTGCAAAGCTCTTTTACATAATTTACTTGATTCTGACAACTCAAGAGAGGTGAGTAGGGGTGAATAATATCCCTGTTTCACAGATGAGGAAACTGAGGTTCAGGAAGGTGAGTCCCAGAACTCCCTGGGTACTGTTCCCAGCTATCTCCCAGCCTCATGAATTCCCGTATCTCCCCTTCCCCCCAGCTTATTCATGGAGATACTTAATTCCTGTTCGGATTGTGATGAGATACAGTTCATGGAAGATGGATCCTGGTGCCCAATGAAACCCAAGAAGGAGGCATCTGAGGTTTGCCCCCCGCCAGGGTATGGGCTGGATGGTGAGTGACCCCCTGTCCCCCAGCCGAACTGAGTCTTGGATGGCCTCTTCTCTGAGACACAGTCCTCTTACCACCCACAGGCCTCCAGTACAGCCCAGTCCAAGAGGGCAATCCATCAGAGAGTAAGAAGAAGGTTGAAGTTATCGACTTGACAATAGAGAGCTCATCAGATGAGGAGGACCTGCCCCCGACCAAAAAGCACTGTCCTGTCACCTCGGCTGCCATTCCGGCTCTACCTGGAAGCAAAGGGTATGAGGAAATAGGCTGAGTCCGCAGCAGAAGGGGCAGAGAAAGAAGTCAGAAATGCTTTCTGATCACTGGACAAACCCCAGGGCAGAGAGGGGACTCAGGAAGCCGAGCTGGGTGAGGGCGTCTGTCGTTCGCTGGCTGCCCAGCTCCTCCTCTCTCCTCACAGAGTCCTGACATCTGGTCACCAGCCATCTTCGGTGCTACGGAGCCCTGCCGTGGGTACACTGGGCGGGGACTTCCTGTCCAGTCTCCCACTACATGAGTACCCACCTGCCTTCCCACTGGGGGCGGATATCCAAGGTAGGACACTGACCACAGGGTGGGCTCTGCCCTGCCCCATGTGCCCTTGAAAGCAGATCAGAACCCCTGCTCCTTTTCAAAGCCTTCTGGCTGTCTTGCAAAGGGCTACAATCCAAAGGATTTTTGGGGGGGGGCCGTGAAGGGGTCAGACAGGAGGCTGATTTTGATTTTTCTTTTCCTACCAGGTTTAGATTTATTTTCTTTCCTTCAGACTGAGAGTCAGGTAAGTGGTCCCTTGTCCCATGAAGATCTCAGATCTCTGAAGCTTCCTATCTAGGCACTGACGGGTCCCCTCCCCCTCACTTTCCCCTGAGAACTAAATCTGCCTCTCTGTGAGGGAAGGTGGGAGCTGGGGGGCCTAAGGAGGGTGTGGGCACTTTATTTCCCTCCCAGGCCCCACTGGTGCTTCTTCAGATTCTCACCCATGTCTTCTTTGATTCCTTGTTACCGTCCTGTCTCCGGAGTTTTTAGAATCCTGCCCCTGACTATTCACACACAACCTCCCCCCCACACCCACGTGCAGTTGAGCGCCATGCCTGCCCCGGCCGGACATTCCACACATTTCAGACGCCCACAAGGCCAAGAACCTAGCAAGATGGAGAGGCTGTCTCAGGGCAGGGAATCGGGTAGGGTATGGGGAAGCAGGGGAAAGAAAGAGAATCTCTCCTGCTTCTCAGAGGGTACCTTGGGATCCGGAGGATTTGAATTATCCCCGGCTATTTCTGAGATGAGTGACTGGGAGGCCGGGTGAAGTCAGGAGAAAATCTTAAACTGTGCCCTTGATTCCTCCCAGCACTATGGTCCCTCCGTCATCACCTCGCTAGACGAACAGGATGCCCTTGGCCACTTCTTCCAGTACCGAGGGACCCCTTCCCACTTCCTGGGCCCACTCGCCCCCACACTGGGGAGCTCTCACCGCAGCACCACTCCAGCACCCCCTCCAGGCCGCGTCAGTAGCATTGTGGCCCCTGGGGGGGCCTTGAGGGAGGGGCATGCGGGACCCCTGTCCTCGGGTCCCTCTTTGACTGGATGCCGGTCAGACATCATTTCCCTGGACTGAGTCCCTTGGATTATGGAAACTTCACTGAGCAAGTGTGCTGTGGGGTCCAGACCCCTGGCCACTCCAACCCCTCAGGGGGCTTTGGCCAAAGGCCAGAAAGACCTTCATGGATGCCTGTTTTGGGCCTTATCTCTGCCTGACAAGTCCAGCACCCAAAGGGTTAATATTTAACCTCTTTTTAAGGACATTTGGGTTCTATTTTTGGAAATGTTCTTTAGATGGTTGGCACATTCCTTTGGGTATGTTAACCTAGGCAGCGGGGAGGCCCCCGTGTGTGATGGGGTGTGAGTTGGGGGAAGGGCTGAATCCACTAGAGCCTGGGGGTGGGGTGGAGGGCAGGGGCCTTTCTCTTGTTCTCTAGAGCCCTCTCTTCCCCAAACCTATGGTTCTGTTCCTTCCCCACATCCATGGTCTCTTCATGTCCATTCCATTCTCTTCGGCCAGACAGACAAGTGGAGAAGCTAAGACAGGCCGACACATGGACAGAGAACTCTATTTTGGGTTGCAGATTTTTTTTGTACATAAACAAGAAAAACCAAAATACTCCAAAGATGACTTCCCCTGCTTCCTACTTCCCAGTGTGACTGCGGAGGAGATAAGGCCTTAGCTCTGATCCCCAGGGGTTTGGGAGCAGGGCCTGGCCTATTGCCTGGGTCTCTCTCTATTTATATATTTAAGTGCACAGTGTTTCCTATGCTGACCAGCTTGGGCCATGAGCTTCTAAAGGCCCGTGGCCCCAGGGTTAGGTCTGGCTCATTCTGCACCTTTTCTGGGAGGTGGGAGGACTTCATGCTCTCCCCATTCTCCTTTTTCAGGCTCCTCTGGGGCTTAAGACCTACGTTGTAATTTTACTTTTTATTCCCAAAGTTGTAGCAAAGTTCTTATCCACAATAAAGGTTGTGAATGTTCTGTGAATGTCTCGGAGGGGGGTTGGGGAGGGAGTTCCACACCTCACTCTCCAGATCCCTGGTTTGGGGCAAGTGGGGGAAGGGGTCCCAGGTTCCGTTCTTGCTTGCAGGCCCTGGTGGGGGTGGGTGGTGGGGGTGTCCCCCAGAGGACTTCCAGGAGCAGCTCCTCCTCCCGTCCTCGTGGAGCCCCTCGCCCACCGGGCCAAGGGGCCAAGTGCTTTACTCTTACCTGCCCAGATGCTGCAGCCAGAGCCTGAGGGCAAACTTGGTCCCAGCGCTGACCCTCTCAAGGTTTCTCTGTCGGAGTCGGGTCGTCTGCAGGAAGGTGGATGGGGCCAGGGGTCGAGCTCTTTCGTCCTCCCCTAGTTCCACTGTACTGCACAGACAGCTCCCGTTCAAGAAAGCCTGTGCCCAGCCCACTTCTCATCGGTAATCCTCCGGCCATGGCAGGAGAGGGCTGGGTGGGTGGGGTGGGTGTTGACCTCATTTTACAGGAAGGAACAGATTCAAGGGGGGGGTAAAGGACTCAAACCCCTCGGAGAGTGGGAGTCCTGCCAACCAGTCGAGCAGGAAACCCTTGGACTCGATGGACAGTGTCTTTGATCTTGTGTGCTCTTCCTTCCATGATCAGTTGACCAACCCCACTCCCCTCAATCTCCTCACCACTAACCACCCACCAATCCCCATGAGGGAGAGAAGTGAACTTCTCAAGGCTTATGTGTTGGCATTTGGGGGTGAGGCAGAAGCTCTACTTACAGGACAGAGGGTAGGGTCCCGGGAAGATGTGTGGAGTGCCCTCTGTCCTCCATCCTCTGCAGCACACGCAGCTGCCATCTCTGGTCCCAGCCACATAAAGGCCACCTCACCTGGGTTTGATCCGCCTGGCCAGACATGTAGGTCCCTTTGCCTCATGGCCTCTTGGGAGGCCTGTTCTGGTTGCAGCCTACCCACAGGTGGAAAGTGAGACAGGATTTTGGGGGGCAGGGACAGGGGCTGCTGATTTCTTGGTTATCTCTGACCCCCCCCTCCAGTCACAGAACTAGTCTGCATGGACCGAGCCCCCATTTCCTTCCCTGCACCACCAGCTCCTGGCCTGCAGTCGCTGCTGTGACTCCCAGGAGACCACGGCAGGATAGGAGAATGATGATGGTATCTGGGACCTCAGCCCAGCCTAGGAGAGGGTAGGCAGACCAAGAGAAGAATAAGCAGCAAAGTGAGAACTTCCTGCCTCTCTTTCTGAGACTGCAAATACACAGAGGAAGCCAGAGGGTCGAGATGTGGTGGCAGGACCCAGGAGACTGTGGGATTTGGGGACTCCACCCCTCCCGTCCCCAATGTTTCCCGGGGCCAAGGCAGGCAGGACCAACAAAGAAATTGTTCAAGGGCTCTAAGCAACAGGAAGTGACCTTTGCCACCTTCCTGTCTCACCTCCCATAACCCCAGAGGACCCAAGAGAACTGGCCTGGGGCAGCTGCTGTAGTCCAGTCTCCTCCTGAAGCTCGCAGAGCCCCTCCGTCTAACAGCTGGGGAGCAACAAAGGGCAGGTCACAGCGGCAGGTGCCAGGACACCTCCAAGCCCCTCGGGCACACCCAAGGTGCAGGCCCCTAGTCTCGGGAAGGTTTCAGGCAGGGTGAAGGTTGGGCCAGCAGTCCCATGCCACTTCTTCATCAAGTCCCACGTGCCCACTCATGGCAACAGTGGGACTGATAGGTAAGTGGTGGTGTTCCTGGCCGGGACACTCCCCCCCCCCCACCCACACACACTATTTACACTACTCCCTCCCATGGGCTGATGCCACAGACTTTTCGTAGCAAGGACCACCGGCCATTTCTCCGGGCCTCTGTTTTCTGTCCTTTGAAACTGGAATAATGACCTGGGGTGAAGGGGCCACTTTCTTCCCTGGAATCTGGGATCTGTCCTCGGGGCACTCACCTGGGGGTACCCAGAGGTTGGGAGAACGCTGAGGGTGCGTGTCCCGCGCGTTGCCATCAAGACAGGTCGTTGACTGCAGAAGGACGGCCACACCCAGATCCACTGAAGGTGCCAAGCAGCTCAGCCCCCGGAGTCCTGAGCTGGTCCAGGGCCGCAAAAGGGCAGAAAGGGGGTCGCTGGTGGGAGGGAGCTGTTCAAGGCTCAGAACTGGGGCAAAAGCTCCTGGCGACAGCGCGATGGGCAGGAGGTTGCAGTCGGGGCGACACTTGTACCCCAGGCCTCTCACGCCAGCTCCCGCCCGACCCCGGTCTCCTCCTTCGATTCTTCACTCCTGCTCCGCTCCCCCCCTCCTGGGGCCCCCTCCTCCCCCGGGTCCCCCTTCCCCCGACCTGAGCGGGAAGCCCGGTCGAGCTGGAAGAATGGCCTGTCTGAGAGGACGGTGGCGAGAGAGTCGTCTCGCTTCCGTCACAGTGCGTGGGCCATGGCTCCGAGTCTTCCTGGCCCTCCGGCGCCCAGGAGGCCACACACACTCTGGGCGAAGCTCGGCGACTCCGCGCGCTCCCAGGGAGCAGTAGCATCACTGGGGCAGCGCGGCGGCCATACGCCCTGATGGGGCCAGGCCCACCTGTGCCCTCATGGTCTAGCGTTCGGCATGGGGACCTAGAAAGCTTCCGCCAAATGCCCCGGGACGTTTAGGCAGAACCCTGGGGGATGAGCCACGGGTGCAATGTTAGTTACTAAGAGACAAAGAAGAAAACCTCTCAATCTCAGCTTCCCTTTTCTTCCCCTCTTCTCTGTTTAGAAGAGTGATCCCAGACTGATTTCTCAACTCACGTGTCCAATCCCGCCGGCCAAGGGCTGAACCATCAGCCGCCCGCGGTCGCTCTGCGCGCACCTACCTCCCATAGTAGGTGCCACCACGAATTAATTGCGTAAGACTCCTCGCCAGACACTCAGGAAACATTTTTGACACCTCCCTTTTTCTTCTCACTCACATGCCAACCCAATGCAGCGGATTCTACCTCCTTAAACTTTCTCAAATCCATGTCTCTCTCTCCAGCCTCCATTGTTCCAGTCCAAGCCTTCCTTATGTTCTGCCTGAGATACTATCCCGTCTCCAAAACAGTCCTTCCCCTACTTCATTCTCTAGGCTGCTTCCAGAGTGATCTTTCTCAAACACAAAGCTAATCATCTTGCTTCCTATGGCTCAGAAGGTAACCTACTAAGCACAGTATAGCGAGGACCCACCACCCCTTGCTCCTGCCCGTTTCTCCAGCCTCAGTTCTGGCAGGATTTATGCCCTATTTTCTAGTCACATACTATTTGCAGTTCTTCCTGGAACCAAGCTCTGCTTCCCTCTGGGACCCCCTTCCCCTTCCACCTGGCAAACCCTCATCATTCAAAAGAGATTGTGACTTTCTCTGTGGTTCCTTTCCTTACCTCTTTGTGTAAAATACTTTTCTACTAGAGCCCTCATTATTTCCTTGTTATTTGTCTCCTCCCACTAGGCTATACTGGCATATTCATCTTTGTATCCCTAGAGCCTGGCCCAGTCCTGGGCACTGACAGGTGCTCAGTAAAGGATGGTGAGTAGCTCGAAGGCAGGGACGGTATCATATTTATCTTTGTATATTATATCCAGTATAATGGCTAGCAATGAATTGGCAATTGACTGTTGAATTAGACTAATTCATTAATCTTAATGAATTAGAACGGACACTGGTAAGAGGAAACTAAAGAGATTGTAACGACACCTACCTGCTTTAAATGAACTGAAGCTACTGGGACAAATTACATTGAGATGAATCATCTACCCATGGTACTGAGAGAAAACTTAGAATTGCTACTTTTAAGAAACCATGGAGAAGACGAAGGCAATGACTTCTTGGGTGTTTACCATATGCCAGGCATTGTGCTGTGTCTTACACAGTTTCAGATGTGCTAGAAGCTTGGAGATGGCAAACTGTAGATTCTGCTGTGAATGCTGGGGCCAATCCACCTGCTGGCCCATCGCCTACTGTGTGCGTGTGTTTGTGTGTATGTAAGATTACAATTTAACAAAATAGAGAACAGGGGTAATTTGAGAATGGAATGAACTACTCAGGAAAAAGTTTCTTCCACTGCTAGGGATGTTCAAACACAGGCGTGGCTGATTTCCTGGTGAGAAACGATGCATCTGATAGATGATTACTCTAGTTGATTTAAGGTCCTTTCCTCTGTCAAAATCTGATGAAGGGAGAA